ATGAACTGTTCTGATCCTAGAGAGTAATCTCAGGCATCTATTACTTTTAAATAATATTTATTTTTTGATAGAGCAGTATTATCTTTAGGATTCTAGAGTACTTTGCAAAAAAAAAAAAAGAAAACACCAAAATGTAAGTGCATGCTTGCAAATATGGTTACTGAAGCTCTCTACGGTATAGCAAATAATGTAGAAATTAGCTAAAGAGCCAACACAAAATTAATGGAAAGGCATTTAGAGAACAGACTCAGGAACCAGCTCTGCCACTTATAAATTGTTTTGTGACCGCTGGCACATTACTTAATTTTTCTAAGCCTCATTCCTCTCATCTGAAAACCAGGCTGCTGGTCAAACCTACTTTACATGATTGTTATAAGCCTAAAAATCACTGAAAACACTTCCTGACATACAGAAAAACACTACATAAGCTAATTAAATATGCAGTTGTTTGATTCAGTCTACACCACATGCCATGAGATGCTTGGAACAAATCTGATTGCTCTTTGGTTTTTAATGGAGTCATTTGGACAACTATGGCTCATTGTTAAATGAAAGAAAGCAAGTTGTCCAAGCCCTGTGATCATTTACTTCTAATTTCTTAAACTGAAAAGTAGTGCCGACATGCACCTGTATCTGTTGGCATTTTTTAGTTAAGTCATAAAGCTATAGTCAGAATCACCTGAAACCCTGAGCATCGCACTTCAGGGAACACTTCAGAGACCACAGGTACACTTCGGAGTTATTGGGGTTCAGTTCTTGACCACAACAAAGCAAATATCACAATAAAGCAAGGCACACAAACTTTTTGGATTCTGAGTGCCTGTAAGAGTTATGTGTGCATTATGCTGTAGTCTATTAAATATGCTATTGTGTACAAGGACAATGTACCTACTTAATTAAAAAACATGGCTAAAAATGCTAACTATTTTCTGAGTTGTCAGTCAATCTTAATCTGTTTTGCTGGTAGAGGGTCTTGTATAAAACACAGAATTTAGGAGCAAAATAAATCAAAGTAAGCCTGTATTAATTTTCTAAAGTTTGTCTGTACACTGCTTGACCCACTATAGCAAAGGTACACTGTTTTGAATAAAAAAATAAGCTGTAAAAATATAATTGTGTAAGTTCAGGAACCACAAAGTGTAACACCATGTCACCTAAATTTGGAGATTGGAGCCAAGCTAAAAGCACATTATTTGTTACCCAAAGCAGCTCCTGACCCCATGGGGACTCTGCTCTCCCCAGCCTGGGCAGTGCTGTGCAAGGATAAGCGCAGGATGAGCAACATCATGGAAGCTGCGTGGCCCACAGTCCTCTTGCAAGGCAACCGTCATACTCTTCTCTGTTTCAGAGTATGTATTTCTAGTCTACATCCTTGGTTTTCTAATTGAAGAAAAACTAGATTTTTCAGCAAAACATCATAGAAATCACAGTCCCAAATAGTCCTTTGATTTTCTCTGGCACAAGGAGGGGGAGAAAAAGAAGACTTCTGGCTCCTGGGAATGCCCCAGAGAGCTAAAAAGTCACATTCCTCAGGTCAGCATGTTAGTCTAACCCCAGGCACTACCAGAGCACAGGTTGCCTGCAGGCATTGGTGACCATTCCCTTCCCCAAAACCCCATGGGAAGCTTCTCTGGAGAATCACCAAGTGAAGACCCAAAAGGAAACAGTCTTGTGGGCAGAACATTCAGGCTGGTTCACAGTGCAGATGAAGTGGAAACCATTTATGAACTGTCACCCCAGCTTCTTTGCTCTCCCCATCCCCCACCAAAAGCAGGTGTCAGTCTTTGAGAAGTCCATGATCATGGAAATCTGTTCAGTAACTTGCTTGTGATTCAGGCAGATTGACAATGGATACTACTGAATCGGACAAGCCATCACCTAGACAGAGGCACTGCAGGTTGTGTGTGCCTCTGTAAGTTTCCTTTCAGCTCCTTCTAGACAGGCCTGAGGCCTTCTCACCAACTGACCGGCTCTCAGCTCAGTGCTGACTACTCTGGCATAAAAGCAGGGGAAGGATGAATATATTTCTTCTGAGAGTACCTAGATTTTGACATTTTATTTATCTTAACCTTTAAGCTTCTTTTGCTCCAATATAGTGAAACCACCAGCTCTTCCAAGTCTCAAAACTTAATCCACTGTAAAGCAGAGGAGATTCTGAGGTGTAGTTAATTGTTTTGTGTCAGACAATCCCCCTTTCCTCACAGCTTGATGCCCTGAACACAACACAAAACAAAATCAACAACTTGCTCCAGGATTAAGGTGTAATCAATGACAAGACCAACTGGGAGCAAAAGCTCATCAATTTGGTGCAGCAGAATTTCCCTCTGTCATCTGGAGCTTGTGGAGCCTGTGAGGCTTAAAGCCCTAGGACATCACTCCAAGGTCAGCTGATCTTGGTCTTTTTCCCATTCTAACACCCCAAAGGCATCTGCAACTTGCCCTCTTTTGACTTTTTACCTGGTAAGCACTGTTAAGAATAAGAACTTAACTGAAAAAGTCATGTACCTACTTAATGGACTTGTTGGACAAGAGTATTTCCCCACAACTCATTTTCTGGAGTAAAATAAACGTTGCTCGGAACATCACAGTACTTGGAAAAATCTCTCAGGGCTTTAAAGAACATAGGTATGATTATAGTTTTGATTGTTTATTTGCTTAAGAAGGACCCACCACAAGTCAGATGGGACGGTGGAAGACAGATCAGCAGTGAGATGCTTAAAATTTAGTAACTGTCATGCTTTAGAAGTGTGTGAGTTATTATTTACTAATTATGTGACTTTGTGTCCCCTGTAAAAAAAAAAAAAAAAGATGCAATACTGCCTGTCTAGCACTTAGCCCAGAGCCTAAGAAGAGGAGAACTTAATACAAGTTTCCATTACCAGTCTCATTATTGTCATTATCCCTAGCATCACTGCTATTATCATTAAACAAGCAAGTGGCTGGTTTGAGGACTTGAAATCTAGTGGACAAGAGAAGATAATCACATGATCAAGGTAAGGAAGCAACACTTACATCTTTATTTCAACACTTATGGCTGTATGACACCTTTTCTGTTTACATTACATTTATCTTCTTCTGAGATCTGGCAGTTCTGGGTGGCAGCTTAAGTGTCTTATTCAATGAAGAAGGGCAGGTTGGTGCAGGTGCATTTCTCTCTCACCTTAACTGTGCACAGGCCACTGTCCCTTTGAGATAATGAGTACAGGAGGAGAGAGCGCATGTGCTGCCCATCCAGGTACTTACTTGCCCATCTCCTGACCCTGGTCCAGAACAATATAAGCCCTGAAGAAGTCAATCAATACACCCTTCTTGGATAAAGCAAAATGGAGATAAAATTGTGGGAGTCACTTGTCTGCTCAAAAATGGATACTTACTAAGTAAGTGTCACCAGTATTTCATGCAGGGCTGAGGGAGGGTACCATGGGGACATCTAAAACCCAGTGTGGGATCCTGAGAAGTAAGGGCTGATGCAGGAGAATGTAAGTTCTCCTCTAAGAGAGGCTGGTCTCTGTCAAGCTACATAAAAAGATAACTCAAAACCACAAGCATCTCTCTTTTTGATTCCCATCCTGACCCACTCAGGACTGTACTGCTACTCTATATTAGTCCCAAGGAGGTTGTCTAGAGGCATTCGAAGCAAGGCCTACCAAAGCACTCGTGAAGTATTCAAAATAGGTATTGCTTCTCCTACTTCTTTTCTTTGCTGAATTATAGCTTCCCCGAGGCATGAGCTCTTCTACTAAAGTCTTAACAAGATGAAATTGTGTCATTTGCAACAACATGGATAGAATTGAAGGGGATTATGCTAAGTGAAATAAGCCAAAAGGGGGGAGACAAACACCAGGCCATTTTACTCATATGTGGACACCTCACACGAATGGGGAGTATGGAGTTTCTCCCCAGGCCTCAGCCATTCTCTCCTGGTAATCTGACAGGTGATGAAGTCTCCCGCTGATCTATATGGTGGAAACCCACTGGCTTCATCTGTCCTGAGCTCACATCCCCTTTACTGCTATTAACATAACCACTCCTATTCAGTCCCCATTGCATTGAGTGGGGGTGACTGATCAGAAGTGATAGTCAACACAATTAGCCATCATCATGACACAGCCATTGAACAATCAGATTCTAGGTTTGCTGCCAAGGCCCTGGTCATGTAGTCTCTCTTGGAGGATTGTCTCCATCCTCTTACACACTCAGGGATTATCACATGACCCAGGCCTAACCAATCAGAAGTGGTGATCCTGGGATTCAGAGATTTCTATGATATAGGCTAGTGGAGAAGAATCTCTTAGAAGTGAGATCGATAAAGCAGGATTTTAGAACCAAAAAGAAGCAACAGATCATACAATTCCTCCTCCCCCTCTTACCCCCAAACTCTGGAAGTGAATAGTTGTATGGGTTTCAAGGACTTTTTTTGGTGTTGGTCACCAGTGAGCTAGCCTGCCTCTAAAGGATTTGCATGAGTCATTTGTAAAGTGTACATTGTAGACTCTATACGTGTGAAGCAATATGGAATGAAGGGGTGCATGAGTGTGTGCACGCAGGGACTGTTAGTGAGCTGGAACACCACCAACAAGAAGCTGTCAAAGAGCTTTGCACTGCAGTAGCCCTGGGCCCTTGTTGACTGAAGGCTGTGTTGATTCCCTTATGCAAAGATACCTTGGACTTTCTCTTCTGTTCCAGTAAGCTCACAAATCAGGTAGAACCATGGCAACCAAGATTTATCTTAAAAAAAAAAAAAAAAAAAAGCTAACGAACATTTAGCAAAATGACCGGTGATAGAGGTATCAATAAACAGGGTCGATACAGGTGAAGATCGGGTCAGCCTGGAGATAAACTCCAATCCAAGGATAAAGGAAACATAGTGCAGCAACAGGAAAAGAAGGTGTGTGCATAACCAGAAACCTTCCTACCGGGACAAAGGCATGGGTGGGGGTCAGAGGGAGTAGCCCATGCTTAAGTAACACAGTAGTTATTAGCTCAATTTATCTCCATACCTCCAAAGCGAGCTCTCAGTGATGCTCCCCAGGTTATAGTCATAGAACTTTGTCAAAATGAGGATCACCTAAAGGCAAAAGAAGAAATCTTGGTTAGGCTCAAACAATTACAATCTCATAGAACTGAAATGGCCCAAGGGAGGGCTTATGGTTCCTTTAATGGGTGCTTAACATAATTGAATGAATTGTTAGGCATTCACTCACACTGATTGGATAAGGATTTGCCAGTGTCTTCCCTGAAACCTCTCAAGCCGGATCCTCTCTCCAACTTCTCCCTCCTCCTCTCTGCAGCAAGAGACACCTGCTCACCCAGGTATTTCTCACCTTAGGGGGCTTAACACATATTGGGAAGGCTTACAAAACTATCAAAATATGCACCTTGCGAAGCAGTCACTGAGCAGATCATTGGGGGAGAGGAAGGTCAGTGATGTATATAGTTCCTAGCTCTAGTAACCGTGTCCTTCTGAGCACGTTACCTAGCATTGCTCAACCTCAATTTCCCAACTAGTAAGGGGTGAGGGCAGTAATGCCATTTTCCAGAAAGGGTCGCTGTGAGGAGTTAGATGTTAGTGCAAATTGCCCTTCAAATACATGGGGTTCTAAATGGTTGTTCTCTCTTTACTCCTCTGTGGGCTTGGCTTTATTAGTTGCTTTAATCTCCCACTTTCTAGGAAAGTCCTCGAATGGAACCCATAAGACTTAAGCAACCGCCTTTTAACAGGAGCAAATCTGTGTTGGGGGGGCCTGAAGCTTGGGGAGTTTCTCCACAAGAGACACAAAATTATGAATTTAAACTTCGAAACAGGTTGGGCTCCCTGGAAAGTGACCTGTGCAAATTCATTAACCTTATGGCCAATCCACCTGTGATTTTAAACTACTGCCACATTTAGTCTCTCTCACCAGAGGCAGCCCATTCAGAGTTTAGCAAATACTTATTAGCATTTATTATGAGGAAGCCAGGATTCCGCACGATACCAGAGGAGATCACAAAAACAGATGAGTCTTGGGAGCATGATCCACTTAGTACAGAATATGCTTGTGAAAGAAAAGTAAACTGATGGAAGCTGACCTGAGCCTAGCAAGCCCGCCAAAACTCCAGCCCATCACGAGAGCTAACACACTGCTTCTTCGGGCGCCAGCAACAAGCCCAAGGTTGCCCGGCTGCTTGAGCACACGAGCACCAGGGCACTCAGGAGCAGTGCAATGCCAACCACGGAGACTCTTCCTCCTTATTTGCTCTTCTTACATAAGCCAAAGAACCTGCTAAATTTTCTGTTGAGGTTCTTATTTCTCTCTTGATACTCATAACCTAGAACATTTGCCCCATCCTGCTGTTTCAACTCAGCAGAAAAAAATCTGTTAACATCGATGTCCCAGATTTTCTCTGAAGCCAAGGGATCAGTTCTAGTCACAGTGAGCACAGAACATCCTAACCTTGAATTCTAAGGCAGCGAGATGCTGAGGCGTGCTGAACCCTTCCCAGTTCCACTCTGCTAGCCCACAGCCTGATTTGCTGGAAGCACAAGCATCCATGAGCTGCTTCTGCCCATGTTTACACAAGCAAATTGCAATCGCTTGACCTTAGATTTGTTTCAAGTTCAAGGGAATGAGAAACTATGGTAACCCAAAGATGGGCAGCACCCCGGGACTTGTGCCCCTAAAGCCACCCCCTTCCTAAAACACAGCCCAGACTTCCTTTCAAGGATCTGTGCAAAACTTGCTTCTTTAGCAAAATGTGAGCACGTGGGAGGTGCTGGGCACCCTATGGGCACATCAGATGGCACGCCTGTGGTGGGGGCATATGCTTAGCAGATCCGTGTGCCAATTAAGTAGCTCTAAGTGCTAAATTTCAATCACCGCCATCCCAGGAATGCTGATCAGAGGCAGCAGGGTGGCTGTTTGTTTGAAGACACGGAGCGTAGCTGCTCTTCCACCTTGGTATGACAGGTCTATAAATCCCCCACCAGGGAAGTGGGGGTGTGGATAGAAAGCACGGGCAGGTAGTGACTCTCGTATACAATCTGGCACTAAGCTAAATAATGAAGTCCAGCTGGTCTAAGGATTGTCACCCCTCCACCTGACAAAGGAATTCAGAGGTGCCCCAGAGAGGGAAACTTTTAACACAGCATGTAATGGTAAGGAGCCCCGCAGGCACCCACACCACCAGTCACACACATCTGCACATAGAAATGGCTTAAATACTTCACAGGAAGGCGGGCAAGGAGGTAAAAATGCTCTCCTCGCCCTTCTTGCTCGGCTAGTAAAACTAAAATGCCAATGATCCACTCAGGCAGATTATCAATATGGCGTCTGAAAGGGCATCATTTACAGCATTTTAAAGCATATCTACTGAATCAATCCAATCTTTCTGTTTTCAGAAGAACTGGAAAAGAGGGAGAACTGAACTGCTAACCTTTAGTTAGGTTTCAACTAATTTTAAAACTCTCTTTTCCCTTCTTTCTCTTTTCTGTGTAATGTTTCCACCTTATTCCTGTAAGGTAAAAGGTCATTATGTCAGATTTGTTTTGTTCTTGCTTGTTCCTTTGTTCTGGATAGTTATCAATGTTATTTAATGAATCAGCACCCGTTATGCAGCCACAGTCAAAATTACCACAGTTAAGAAAAAAGAGGGAAAGTCATCGCCTGCCTAGTCTGGTCCCACTGCCTGCTGTTTTAGCATATTTTTTTCAAACCTGAAAAAAAAGTCAATGGAACTGTTTAGTAAATTGGAATGTTACATGTACAGTTAAATTGCATGCAAATGATAATTGGTATTAATTTAGTAAACAATTGTATTTACAATTTACTTTTATGAGTCTAAGTGTATAATACTGAATCATAAATCCAATCAGTGAGAACAGAACTGTTTGAGGAACAGTCACACACACACACAATGGAATATCTATCAGCATCTCATTGGTTTCGGGGTGATATGATACTAGCTTTTTTAGATTTCTCTATATCTGAATATACTTTCTTTAAATAGATGAAATTCAAACACATAAGGCTTGTGTTGTACAACCATCCCAGACCCCGCAGGTTCACTGTGGATTCCAATAGACAAAAAGAATTTCGGAGCCTTTGGTATCACTATCATGTCATTAATGCTGAATCAGGGAACTGAACTCACGCAAGCCAGCAGGCAGCGAGACAGGCAGGCAGCAACTGAGCCCCTAGCCCCTGAAGCCCCTCTTTATACCGTGCTCCTCGGTCTCCGTGTGTCTCTGTCATGAAAGCACACACCCAATGCTCTCTGGTTTCTCTGCCCAACTGTCTATACTCAAAGTCATGTATGCATGCCTCATGCTTGAGCTTCCAAGCACCTTTTGCATCAACACAGTTGTCACATGTGCTAAGACAACCTGGGAGGAAAGATGGCTGTAGAGGTGGTGTAGGGAGGAGGGAAAAGAGCCTGAGTCACTCCATTTCCCCTGCACATAGCAACCTCCACCTACAGTGTTCTGGTCCCTCGGTGCACTGTTATTCTGGGAACTTTCCACAGTGAAATGTCTGAGTATTTCCCAACCAATCTAAGAATCACTGCCACTATCTGCATTCTGTCCTATTCACTTGGTATAGTTCCATTACTTGCAAAGCTTCTGGAAAGAACTCCACTTTCTCCATACATAATAGAGAGAAGGCTGAAGCCCTTCCACTAAACCATTGCTCTTAAAGATGTACATATGTATACATACAAGAACAGGTACAGGCTAGAGGTGAGAGTGAGAAGATTCACCAGAAACAAAGTGAGGATCAGAACAGGCCGACTGAAATACACTGCTGAGGTGAGCAGTTGGTGAGACAGGAGAGGTCTGCTGTGCTATGTGGGTCAGCTGCCTGGCCAGGGATCGAACTCATGCTGCACTGGATCCCGATAGCTTCATAGTGCTGTGCTTTAACCTGCTGCGCCACCAGAGAGGGCCCAAACTGTTGTTCTTAGATCATCTATTCTTTGGAAGTTTGAAGGGCACTAGAAGCATTGCCCGAGGAGGATTTCCAGGGAGGGAGAGTGGTCTTCCTCACCAGCACTGGACCAGTTTTCACCCCCTAGACTCAACAAACTACTATTATTTATCACGAGGTCTTCTAAGCTCTCACTGATTCATTCCAACAAACGAGCCTATTATGCCTTCCCATACAGAGTGTAAGTCATAACGTAAAAGAAAAAAAACAGTAGCATTACATAAAAAATAAGAGAATTCTGCTATTGCAACAATGTGTATCAACATGGAGGAAATTGTGCTAAATTAAATCAGCAGATAAAGACAAATAAAGACCAGATGCTATCACTTATATATGGAATATTAAAATAAATATACAAACAACATCGGCCCTCCCTGATGGCGCAGTGGGTTAAAGCACAGCACTGAGAAATCTACAGCCAATTCTGCATGAGTTCAATCCCCGCCTGTCCCGGAGGAGATCCACATGGCGTGGCAGACCTCTCCTGACCCGCCCGCTGCTCCCCTCAGCAGTGTGCTTCGTCAGTCTGCCTGTTCTGCTCCCCACTCTGTCTCTGGTGAAGCCTCTCGCCGCCCCTGAGCCTCTGGCCTGTACCTACCCCATTCTGTATGCACAAATAAATAAATCTAAATAAATCTAAAAATAATAATAATAAATAAATATACAAACAACAATAAGACAATTTAATAGAAATAGGAATGATAGTTGCTACGGGAAGGGAAAATGAGCTGTAGGTCAAAGGCTACCAACTTTCAGTTACAAAAAGGATAAACTGGGGATCTAATGTAAAACTCCAGCTAGTAGCATAGTCTTAACTATGGAGAGTGATGAAGGTGCCAATTATCTTGATGGGGGCATCGTTCCACCATGTATATCACATTACCTTGTACAATTTAAATATATGCAATTGCATTTGCTAATTATTCCTAAATAAAGCGAGGGCTAAGAAAGCAGCCAAAATGGTCCCTGGAGGAGACACCTGCTGGTTCGCCCTCCATTCCTCTAAGCCCAACTCCTTTCCACACTGGAGTACACAATGAAAGTGTTCACAGAGATAACAGAAACACTATCATGTGTACAGTTAAAAAGAGTGTCCTGGTGTGAA